CTCGTAGCAGTGCTGGCAAATGGTTAACATGTCGAAATTATGCTCTGCACTACTACAACTTGGGTTAGAGTCCAGCTGGGGGTGCAGATGAGAACAATTGAGGCGAGGTCGAAATCACATTCCACTTCTTCCTGGATGAGAACACACTTTGGAAAGCAAGTATATTGTAACTTCAATGGAAACACAGGCTTATGCATATGATTGTGGGAAAATTAACTACCAGTCCTTCATCATTTGAGCGAAATGAAGTAGTTTTGAAAGCCTACTCAAATACGAAAATAAATCGAAGCTAATCTAGCAGACTAACAGAAAACATTTTTCTTGAAGTCCAGGGCACCAAGACCAGGAAGAAGAATGATAAAAGAGATGAAGGTAGCATCATCGGTATAGAAGTGGGTTGACCCCGTTGTCTCAACTTGGTCTTGTTGTCAGGGCGACTTAGTAGAACGCACCTAGTCACAAGTCGTCTGCCATAATAGTTGTCATGATACCCAGCATCAGACAGTGGACGTGGTACATTCTCAAACGTTTCGCCGGCATCGTAGTGGGCATCATCAGTGAGTGCTGCTACGAGCTCGTCAAAGAGACAAGTAAAGTCAATCTCTCGACAAACGTTCTGCCGAAAACGATTCGACTATCATTCTTCTTTCTGTCTTGGCCTATCTATCTACTCTTTACCCTCTTATCCCACTTCCGCCCTATCACAACTTCTCACTTGTTTACATTCTAATCGTCAAAATGTGTACCCTTTTGTGGCAAACCTAGTGTGGCCTCATCACACTTACTATTCACCCGACCCCCTCTCTTTCGATCGGCTGATCCGACTCGGGCCTCCAATCCGAGTCCATTGTCTGATGCTGGGAGTCATGACAACTACTATGGCAAACGACTTCGGACTAGGTGCGTTCTGCTAAGTCGCCCTGACAACAAGACCAAGTTGCGACAACGAGGTCAACCTACTTTTATACATCGAAAGGAGACTGCATCCATACCAGAGGCCACAACATCTTGGTCTTCATAACATCGGTATAGTTGCAATTATTTACAACAGAAGAAAAGTCCGCCCTGTTACATAGAATTATCAGCAATATTAGCAACAAAATCAAAATCAGCAACCTGCGCCGGTAGTGGCAACAATCGCAGCTTCCGAACAGACTTAAGGCTTCAACAAAAGTGACAATGGGCACACTAACCCGCCAACAGCAACAGTGACCATCCGAAAGCCTGACATCTGGGCCTCAGATGGCGAGATGAAGAGAGATTTTGCCTTTGGCGATTATTTAAATGCAATTTTCATCCATAATTTACATTGCTTACTCTAAATGAAATGCACTCTATCTGCCCCAGCTACCAGACAGAAGAAGCCCTCCCTTAAACTCAAAACTATTGTTTTTGGGAAATTTATCTCAATCTCTTTTGTTTCTGATAACCTGACTGCAAATCCGGGTTAAAATCCGGGTCTATTAATTTTTATAATAGCCTCATCCACCCTTTATTTCGGCCTTTCGACAAGGTCGAGTAGTCTATGATAGTATCGAATGTTAATCTTTATCCAGTCGGTTGATGCTTAAGGTGATTCGATGAGGATTGAAGCGTAAGGGGTCGTTCAGATGCCAGCCAAAATAGGTTATGCCCCTGGAAATGCGTTGAAAGGATAGTCTAGGGATCATATGAAAATCATTTACCTTAAAATTTGATAGGGTCTATCGCAATAAGACTCTGTTGTCAGTCGAAATCTGTACTCAAGCAGATCACTTGACCTGTTAAGACATTAGGGCTTCCAGAGCAACAGCAAATGTACCTATGCTTAATACGAAGACAAAATTAAAAATACAAAATAGTATTAATAATTTTTTCTTTTCGTTTTAAGAGGCGTGTAGAGGGGCCTCACCAGAAGCCGAAGGAGGAGGAGGGTGCTGGAGGTGTGATTGTAGATTTGTGAGAATAAGCCCTCGGCTCATCTACCGACGATTCCTACAAGAAGGGTCTTCGTAGCTTCGCGTTTTCATGAATTTTGCTAAGACTGAGAGCCCTGCTCTGATGTTGTCTGTCACATGACATGTGAAAGCTCAACAAACATCCATCGGAGTTGCGGCGGCGAATCTATTTGCAGAAATCTACAGTCACTGCTCCTTCGGCTTCTTGTGAGGCCAAATTAAGAAACCCTTTCACTCACATCTTCAAAGGAAATCAAAGGAATGCCAACATTAACTTTTTAGGGAGACTTCGAAGCCCAGCGTTTCTTATAAAGTGAAGAATGTCAATCAACAAGCCAAAAGAGGAAGTAAGCGAATCTGTGTAGGTTTGGGATTATCTGGTTATAAGATTCTGCTGCTCGAATAGTACGACTTCGGAGAGAAGCAAGATGTGGTACAAGCAGAATCTGACAATAAGTCAGGATTTGGATACGCTTGGTAAAGCAAACTCGTGTATTTTGAGAATTTTAGATGTATTCACCCAGTCCTTCATCACCTTAAACGAAATAGGATGAATATGCCTCATATTACTG